GCTGGTGATTTTGCTAATGCCATTGGAATCCCAGAACAATTGCAGGTTATGCACACAATACCCACAGCAAAACTGGTTGGCTACCAGACAGGACAAAACTATGTGTGGTTGGGTCTTGAACAAGGGACACCTGTTGCTGTGTGTGGCAGTGCAGTTCCAATATTACAGCACAAAGTAGCCTTCACTGCCCAAACACTTTGCAGAATGTGTACCACTGAAGTGAAACTGACCACCAATGCACATGACAACCCAAACCACCCCTGCTGTCTGTGTGCTGCCCAGGTGATGTTCCTTGTGTTCTCTCTGATGGCTGGGGCCTGGGGCTACCTGTGCTGGAAGGAGCGCCACAATGTGCACAACATCCACTACCTCATGATGGTCCTCATCGTCTTCAGAGCTCTGACCTACCTTGCTGAGGCGGGCATGCAGCACTACCTGCGTGTCACTGGCGACCCCTCTGGCTGGAACATTGCTTTTTACATCTTCACCTTCTTCCGTGGCATTATGTTCTTCACTGTGCTGGTCTTGATCGGCACAGGCTGGTCATACGTTAAGCCATTCGTTGGCGAGAAGGAGAAGAAAATCCTTGTGGTTGTAATACCCCTGCAGGTGCGAACAGTACCCTGCGCAAGTCAGCAGTGAACATGCTGGGGGACAAACTGTTCTGGCGAAGTTGCCCCATGCTGTGAGCCTTTTGGTGCTTGTATCATAGACAAGTGGCCAGGGCAAGGCTGTGAAGGTCTTGCAGCCAACGTTGTGTTTGTTTCTGGACTGTTCATCATCTCCCTATTCTGCTCACCCACCTTGTGTCCATCTTGAGGTCTATAAGTAAACGAATGAACAATAAACAAGTAAAGAAAGCAGGAAACAAAGAAACAGGTGCATAGACAAGTACATGAACTACATAAGTTAATTTAGAAACCAGAATAGGCAAAGGGAAAAACATTGAAGTCTGTACTGTTGAAGAGCAAGAAACAATGGAGGCAGGGAAAGGACCACCTGAAAGATGCTCTTTTTGGTTACCTTCGTCAACAGTATCCAACGAGGATTTCTTGATGCTGCAGGTGTTTGCCAACATTGCCATCATCTTCTTGGACGAGGCCTCCCCTGTGCGGGTGTCTTGGTTTGAATGGAAGGACATGTTCCACCTGGTGGACATCATGTGCTGTTGTGCGATCCTCTTCCCCATTGTCTGGTCGATCAAGCACTTGCGCGAGGGGGCAGAGACTGATGGCAAGGCAGCTGTCAATGTAGAGAAACTGACTCTCTTTCGCCAGTTCTACGTAATGGTGGTGGTGTACATCTACTTCACCCGGATCATAGTGTACCTGCTGCAGAACACACTGCCATTCGAACACCACTGGATGAGCAACGCAGCCAAGGAGATTGCCACCCTCACGTTTTACTTGCTGGTGGGAATGAAGTTCAGGCCACACAGTGAGAACAAATACTTCAAGCTTGCGTCTGACGCTGCTGTTTGAAGTCACATAGTAGTGGTGGTGGTGTTGACAGGTTGGGTTGTGGTCTTCATGGGATTTTTTCCTCCCACCTTTGCTCTTGGCTGATGGACTGCGCATGACAACATGTGCTGCCTACATGGCTGATTGCAGGCCAAGATGGCCGCATTGCAAAAGGCAAATTCAATCTGCATCAAGATGTTGTGTTGACCAGCCTCGTTGAATGCTGCTTGTCCATAGCTTGCTGCAACAGGGCGCTTGTAGGCTGTGGATAGCATTGGGAGTGCAAGGCAGCAGGTGGGCGTTGGGAAGTAGGATCTGTCGAAATCGATGCTGTTGTGGGCAGACTCTGCGCATACATTGCGCAATAAGTGATGCATTGTGCACAACGTTTCTTGGGCACTTGCTCCTTGCCCGAATTGGAACCTGCCGTGGGCTCTTGATCTCTTAGGTATTGGGGCTCCAATGTTTTCAGTTTTGCTTTCGGAAGCATGAGGGGGGAGGAGCGGGCCTGGGGCTTCCCAAGACAATGGTTGCATTCCACAACGCGCCTTCCTGAGATGAGTCGTGGCGGCCGCCTCCTCCCGCCTTCACATTTGCGGTGCCTTTAGGTCGGATGTGTGGGTAGCTTCCGATGGGCTTTGCAATGGTGTGTTTCATGTGCATGGGTTTAGCATGTGCCGCGCATGGCAACAATGCTGCGTGATCATTGAGAACACATTAGCCCAGGCTTCGATTGAACAGGGAACAGTGGCCTACAGTTGAGTTGGAACCTTCTACCACGTCGTGTGAGCAGGGATCATTGCGCCCAATGTTCAGTTGACAAGGAACAATGGGCATCATGTTGAGGTTGATGTTGTCGAGAGTTTAGTGAGCCCTTTCAACAGCCCTGGCAATGCTCACCCCTTGCGAAGATAACAATATATTGGGAAAAGCAGTGCGCGACTTAGCGTTTCAGTGTACTTTGTTGTGTCACACTTTCATTGCATGTTGTTAGATGCAGTCGTGGCTCCCATGCAGGAAACGCCGATGATGCTGCGAAGTATGTTGCAGTGGTAACGGGTATGAAAGGCGTTTCCATCTTGTGCCTTGCAGCTAGAGAAAAGCTCTGGATGAGGAACCACAATCTGCATGCCCCTGGGGGGACGAGAGCGAACACCTAAAGGTTGTGATCATTTGGGTGTCCGGTCAATTCGTCTAAGGACAACTTGTCCAACGGACAAGTCGTCTAAGGACATGTGGTCTAAGGACAACTTGTCTCACGAGTGATCCTCCCTAAACGCAGCCACGGGTTGGTTGTGTACCATTGATACAAACTTCTCTGATACGAATACCACTCGTTTTCAAAGCCATTGCGTGCGTTCAGCTGCCCTATGGTGAAGTCAATTGCAGCATTGACTCTGTCTGCATTAGACGGGTTGTCTTTAGACGAGTTGAGTCAACTCGTCTAAGCAGCGCCCTTCAACTGCATTTAACCTTCAATTACACTTCATTTCGTTTGTGGCGGGCTGCATTACGAACTGGTTCCTGGCACCCGCACAAGGGGTGGGACAGCACAGGAGGGTAAGCACTAGTCCAGGCACGTGGCTGGCGGGTGTGGCGCAGTTTGGCGCAGCGTGGGGCGTCGATTGGCAGCTATGGAAAGCGGAGATTCTACAGGGCGCAGAGGTGTATCGACGGGAGATGTAGCCGAACGTCGCACCGATTGGCAACGATGGAGCCATCGGATCCTCCGAGGCATGAAACTAGATTGACGGGAGAGGCTGGCGAAAGGGAGAATCGATTGGCAGATATGGAGCACGGAGATTCTCCAAGCCGCGAAAGTGGATCAGCGGGAGAGGCAGGCGAATGGCAGCACCGATTGGGACTGATGGAGCTAGCAGATCCTCCAAGGCAAGAAGGCGGATCGCGGGAGAGGCAGGCCAATGCGACCCTGGTCCTCAATGGGAATTGATTCGCAGACAAAGGACGTTGAAGCTCCACGCTCACGGGCATCTCTACACAAAAAACCGGGTGGTGGACTATACCAGTTACTAGCCGTGCAAACGCCGTGACTGGCCAGGGCGCGCACTTTTGTTTGAAGATGTGGCTGCGAGCAACAACGCTACCTTGCAATTGAAAGGGGAACACAATCACACAATCGGATATGAGTGAGTTGGTTTTGGGGTTCAGGAGAATATGCTGAACGAGAGAGGGCCCTCGGGCAACTGGCTCGAGTTGGAACGCGGATTCCACTCAAATCATTTGAGTGAGTTGGTTTGGGGGTTTAGGGGAATGCGCTGAACGAGTGAGGGCCCTCGGGCAACCAGCTTGAACTGCAATGCTGATTTGAGTGAGTTGGTTTTTGGGTTCAGGGGAATGCGTCCAACGAGCGAGGGCCCTCGGGCCAATGGCTTGAGCTAGAATATGGATGTGAGTGAGGTGGTTTCTGGGTTTAGGGGAATGCACGGAACGAGTGAGGGTCCTCGGGCCACCAGCTGCAGGTGCGATGCGGATATGAGGAAGTCAACTCGGGTCAACAGAATTCTAGACGAGTTGTCCACAAGACTAAGTCCACTTGGACAACTTGTCCTTTTGACAGTTATGAAATTAACTATCCTGTTAATGGGTTTCTGCCAAGGGCGACGATGGGTGGGCTGCACCGACGATTCAAACGGTGCAGTTTGAATCTGGGGTTTACTCAACCCTGTCTCTTGGGATTTCTGGCCACCCCCTAGTACCGTGGGTCAGTCAAAGTACGGTATTCCGAGGTGCCGCCCGCGAGGGCGCCCTCGAGTTTGGCGGGCTTTGGCGGGGCGGCGGAGGGAGGCTATTTAGGCAGCCCCTCGGTCCCCCTCCTTATCTTGTTTCGCTTCGCGCCATTGCGTTGGCACACCCCGAAGGCACCGAGTGCCTTGTCCCTCCGGCTACGGCCAAGTTCTTTCTATGAACCGTTCTTCGGCCGAGCAATGGTTGCACGACCAAGCAGTTCGGTTCAACGACGGTCCGCCTACGGCTTCTCTCAACGAAGTCTGGCTGTCCGACCCCCGGCTCCTCCCGCAGGCGGTGACCAACCCGGTGGTCCGACCCCCGGGAGTCCGCTTCCCCGAGTGGTTCGACGGCCGCCGCACCTCCGAAGGTGGGCAGCTCGCGCAGGCCCTGGGCGCCAACTCCGGTTACTTCCAGGAGTACCAAATCTGGGCCCCCTACGTGGCAGTTCGACCTCACTGCCGCGCTGATCGACTTCGTGGCCCACCCTGCATTTCCGCCAGGAGCCCTTCATGCATCATGGCCTGTGCGGTGGGGGCGCGTCCAGCTGCTTCGCCTTGGAGGTCACGGAACGGCGCATCCGGGATTGGGGTGGATGGAAGTCAGATGCGTTGTGGTCGTATATCGACTTTTTTCGTTTACCCACCGAGTGGGATTTTCGCCTGTTTGGTTGGATGACCATCACCGCCCGCGACCTGCATGAGCAGTTCGGGCACATCTTCTGCCCCGGAGGGGCCTCGAGTTCCCGTAGAGTGATTGGGCAAGTTTGATGGACGGGAACCTTGTGTATGTGATATTGACGTTTGTTTGTAAGTATTGTCATGGGGGTACATGACGGGGTGGGCTCAGGAGACCAGTAAGGCAGAAATGAAATTAACTATCTTGTTAATGGGTTTCTGCCAAGGGCGACGATGGGTGGGCTGCACCGACGATTCAAACGGTGCAGTTTGAACCTGGGGTTTACTCAACCCTATCCCTTGGGATTTCTGGCCACCCCCTAGTACTGTGGGTCAGTCAAAATACGGTATTCAAGGGTGCAGCCCGCGAGGGCGCCCTTGAGTTTGGCGGGCTTTGGCGGGGCGGCGGAGGGAGGCTATTTAGGCAGCCCCTCGGTCCCCCTCCTTATCTTGTTTCGCACCCAACCCTCCCACCCTGGATAGTGGAGTTCGGGTTAGTTGTGGGATGGAGAGGGAGTTGAGGGAGTGAAGTACGGAAAAGGGAGCTGACTCATGGGGAGTCACTCACTGAAGTGGTATTGAAGTACTAGCAAAGCGAATGGGCAAATTTGATGGACGGGAACCTCGGGTATGTGATATTGACGGTTGTTTGTAAGTATTGTCATGGGGGTACATGACGGGGTGGGCTCAGGAGACCGGTAAGGCAGAAATCTTTAGACGAAATGGCCGGCACCCAATTATTTTGATGATACTGTATAAATAAAAAAGTTTGTGCGGAAAATTTTTCGCGTATTTTGTACGGAAAAGTGTTTCAATGGAAAAAATTTCGCACGCTCATCAGTGCGCAAACATTTTTCGCTGCAAACCTTTTTTGCCCACAAAATTTTCTCTGCGCAAACATTTGCATTGCATGAACATTATGGAACGGGGCTCCTGCCACCCTTTACCTTCACCAGGTGTGGCGCCGTTTCTTATTGCGGCACACGGTCCCCCGGGCGCGGTCCTGACCCTCCGGCTGCCGCAAACGAATGGCGTGAAATGGGGATGAAAGTAGAGCCGCCTGGTCAGGGAGATGGCACGGATCCCACATCCTGAATTGTTATGATGGCAGGAGGTTGGTTGGCTGGCAAGAGGCAGCTTTTGGCGACAAAGTTGATAGCATATGGCACTCGAAGGAAAAACCTTGATTCTGTCGCTGTATGGCGTGTCTGCCCAGTGGCCATGTGGTGGCCAGCCGAGGCTTGACTGCTGACGTCGAGTACTACTTCTTAACCAGAAGTAAGCTATTCAGTTGGTGCTTCGACACAAAGTTTGCGAAAACCCCCTAAAAGAAGCCAAAAAGGAGTATGCCATACCTGACCTCAGTCAAATTGTGATATTCGGCACCGCCCTTTGGACCACGAAATTAGCCACTGTCGCTGCCCAAGGGTTGTGCCGTAGACAGCCAAGCGAAGGCCCCAAGCGTGTGAACGCGTTTCTGCAGACACTGCATCGCTGAAATAACCCGCTTTTGCCCAATCTTACAGTGCCCCGCCCCGGCTGCTGTGACGCCCAACAGTTGGCCACAGCCTTGGCTGGCCGACTGGCATTCCGTGATCC